ATCCTCAGATCACCGCCGTGGACGTGGTAATGGACGTGGTAATGGCCGAGGACATGGACGTGGAAGACGTGGACGCGGACATGGTCGTGGCAACCGACCTAACCTCAGTTATGTTCCTGGTCGTGGTCGAGGCATCACCAAGCCGACCCGCCACACCAACCCCGATCACTCTGCTTGTACCAGATGTGGGATGTTCAACCACCCAACAAAGCAATGTCGCACCCCCAAGATCCACTGCGATCTATACCAGAAGTACGGAAAAGCTCCTGCTGAAGCCAACATGACTCAGCCAGTCGATGCTGCTAACCTGGAAGGTGACGACCTCCTTGATGATGAGAACACCACAAACGAGCAGACCGACCCCATGGACTATGAAACAGCTGATCTCCTCGATTAATTCAATCATCTGAAACTCTGATACAATTTGATTTTGTTCTTTATTTTTTTTTTCATTTTGGGATTTGTTTCATTTTTTTTTTTTTTCCATTTGCCTTTATTCTCAGACACTGCTTTACTTTATGATTTATCACATTTTCTGAATTCCTCAATACCGAATTCTATCTTCTATTCATAATGAAGCACACCAGCAAATGGAAACCATAGTCGTAGATAGTGGATCCAGCCACACTATCTTAAGAAACAAAAGTTACTTCATAAACCTAACCTATCAAACCGCAAATATTAGCACCATCGCGGGTCCCTCAAACCTTATCGAAGGATATGGCCATGCTTATGTGTTGCTATCAAATGGCACACAACTTGAAATACCAGATGCTCTATATTCTCCTAGTTCGAAGAGAAATGTTCTGAGCTTCAAGGATATAAGACAGAATGGTTTCCACATAGAAACCCAAGGTCAAGGGAACAAAGAATCCCTCCTAGTCACTAAAACCGTAGACGGCCATAAACAAATCCTCGAAACCATACCCGCGCTCTCTACTGGACTTTACCATGCTAAAGTCAGTATGATTGAAGCTAATACCACTCTCAAAGCCCGGTTTACTGATTATACTATTTGGCACGACCGGCTCGGTCATCCCGGTGCAAATATGATGCGTAAACTAATTCAAAACTCTCAAGGGCATACCCTCAAAGAAAACCGAGCTTATCCTCAACACCTCATGTGCACAGCTTGTTCTCAAAGCAAATTGATCACTCGGCCTTCACCAGTTAAAATCTCTAAACAAACACTTCATTTCCTAGAAAGAATCCAGGGCGATATCTGTGGACCTATACATTCATCTTCCGGACCATTCCGGTACTTCATGGTCCTTATAGACGCATCGACCCGTTGGTCATATGTTTGTCTCTTGTCCTCTCGGAACCAAGCCTTCGCTAGGTTCTTGGCCCAAATCATCAAATTGCGGGCCCATTTCCCTGACTTCCCACTAAAGACTATCCGCCTTGACAATGCTGGTGAATTTACCTCACAAGCGTTTAATGACTACTGTATGGCCATGGGGGTAACCGTGGAACATCCTGTAGCACATGTCCATACTCAAAATGGATTGGCTGAATCATTCATTAAACGCATTCAATGGATAGCCCGACCATTACTCATGAGATCAAAGCTCCCGGCCTCAGCATGGGGACATGCAGTATTACATGCTGCTGAACTCATACGCATCCGGCCATCTAGTGAACACAAATATTCCCCATCCCAACTACTCTCGGGTCATGAGCCAGACATCTCCCATCTCAAAACATTTGGGTGTTCAGTATATGTACCCATTGCTCCACCACATCGAACCAAAATGGGACCTCAAAGAAGGATGGGAATATATGTTGGTTTTGACTCTCCCACCATCATAAGATATCTCGAGCCAACCACTGGAGATCTCTTCAAGGCCAGATATGCGGATTGCCAATTCGATGAATCGGTATATCCCTCTTTAGGTGGTGAGACAAACAAGCTGGTCAAAGATCTTTCATGGAATCAAACATCATTAAATTGGCAAGATCCTCGGACTCTAGAATGTGATTCAGAGATCCAAAAGATTATTCATTATCAAAAGCTAGCTAATCAATTGCCAGATTCCTTTGCTGACCCGACCAAAGTAACCAAATCGTACATCCCAGCTTGTAATGCACCAGTACGAATAGCCGTCCCAACGGGACAGACCCAAGTTGCTACAGAGTCTGCACCACGTCTCAAACGGGGCAGACCTCTCGGTTCCAAAGATAAGAATCTCCGGAAATCAAAGAAAGGTGCAATAACCGAAACCGGGATTCCTGCAATATCAGACATAGCCGTGGCTGAGACTCAATCTAATGAACCCTCAATGGAAGTTCGGGACGCCGAATCTCCAGGTTCAGAAGATAACAATGAGATCTCCATCAATTACAATATGTCCGGAATACAATGGAATCGAAAAGAAGTCGACTTAAATGCACTCTTTGCATACAAAGTAGCACTTGATGTTGCGCTCACGCAAGAGGATCTAGAACCCACGTCAATAACACAGTGTACACATCGAACAGATTGGCTAAAATGGAAAGAAGCCATAAACGTGGAGTTAAAGAGTCTCAAACTCAGAAACGTGTTCGGTCCGATCATCCGGACCCCATCACACATCAAGCCAGTGGGCCACAAATGGGTCTTTGTGCGCAAAAGGAACGAACTCGGTGAAGTCGTTCGATACAAAGCACGGCTTGTAGCACAAGGATTCTCACAGAGACCCGGAATCGATTATGAGGAGACTTATTCTCCAGTGGTGGATGCAACAACATTCCGATTCCTCATAAGTCTGGCCATAAGAGAAAATCTTGATCTGCGGTTAATGGATGTTGTAACCGCATATCTCTATGGGCCCCTGGACAACGAAATATATATGAGACTCCCAGATGGCATTGAACTAAAAGACAAAAATGCATCTCGAGATCAATACTGCATCAGGCTGAACAAATCCTTGTATGGACTGAAACAAAGTGGGCGTATGTGGTACAACCGCCTCAGCGATTACCTCATCAAAGAAGGCTACAAAAATGACCCCATCAGTCCATGCATCTTCATCAAGAAGTACTCAAACAAAGGATTTGTAATCATAGCAGTATACGTGGATGATCTAAACATCCTCGGAACATCTGGTGAGATCTCCCAAACAGTCGACTGCTTAAAAGCAGAATTCGAAATGAAAGACCTAGGCAAAACAAAGTACTGTTTGGGATTACAACTTGAGTACATCAAAGGAGGAATCCTTGTGCATCAATCGGCTTATATCGAAAAGGTACTCAAGCGATTTAATATGGACCAAGCTCACCCATTGACCAGCCCAATGGTAGTTAGAAGCTTAAGTGATGACCCTCTTGGTCCCAAAAAGGATGATGAAGAAATCCTTGGTCCTGAAAAGCCGTACCTCAGTGCTGTAGGAGCGTTAATGTACCTGGCTAGTCACACTAGACCAGACATATGTTTCGCCGTGAACCTCCTCGCTCGATATAGTTCATCCCCAACTCAGAGGCATTGGAACGGTATAAAACATCTCCTAAGATACCTTCGAGGTACTCAAGACTTAGGACTCTTCTATACTAACAAAAATAAAGATGGGTTAGTCGGCTTCGCCGATGCAGGATATCTATCAGATCCGCACACTGCCAAGTCTCAAACTGGCTACGTTTTTACGCATGGAGGAACAGCCATCTCTTGGAGATCAATGAAGCAGACACTCACTGCCACTTCATCAAACCATGCTGAAATCCTAGCCATTCATGAGGCTAGTAGGGAATGCGTCTGGCTGCGCTCCATGACTCAGCACATCCGCAGAGATTGTGGTATGGACGAAGACACACAGCCCACGGTGATGTATGAAGACAACGCGGCATGCATAGCTCAGCTCAAGGAAGGATATATCAAAGGAGATCGGACGAAGCACATTCTACCGAAGTTCTTCTCAACTTCAGACTGGCAGAAGGACGGCACTCTCAGCGTTCAGCAGGTCCGATCCAGTGAGAATTCAGCTGACCTCTTCACCAAATCATTGCCTACTTCAACACAGCGGAAGCTCGTCAAACAGATAGGAATGTATAGACTTAGAGATCTGCAGTGATGCTACAATCAGGGGGAGTAATGCGTGTTGTACTCTTTTTCCTTCACCATGGTTTTGTCCCACTGGGTTTTTCCTGGTAAGGTTTTAATGAGGCAACATTCCCCAGCGCATTATCGAGATCCCGATTGAGTAGCTGGCCCGGTTCACTCGTCCAAGGGGGAGTGTTATAACACATATCATATATGGACTCTTATACCGGCCCATTAGGCCCATCAGGGCATTGTACTTAACCTAAATTCCCTATGTACTCTATATATACATTTTCCAGTAATTAATAAAGTTTCTAAGTTTTCACAACAAAATTAGTATAATTTGATTTCTTCATCTACCTTTCTTTCTTTATGACCACTATCTAATGTTAAATGTGGCTTCCACTTGGCATACTAAAAAAATATAAGAAGATCCGCTAAAAAGCAAATAAAGAAAAACACGAAATATAAAATGATGATTATACAGAAAAAGCAAAAAAAGGTGTGTAACACCACCACCACGACGAGCCACCACTAACCAGCCGCCCCAAAAGGTAAACTCCTCTCATTTTTTATACACAGAAAAAAATACAAAAATGTTTATCATACTATTCCTCACCATCTCTTCCCTTTCGGTAATTTTTTAATTTGTTTCAAATCATAATGTTTGTGCCCATCATGAGTATAATATCATCAAATTCAATTTTCATGATCAACATCATAGCACGCACGCACGCACCTCCATCTCCAAACATGAAATGACCCAATTTCCTGCTTGTTTTTTTTTTTTGTATTTTCCTCTCTTAAATGAATCTGAACAGATCAATAGTTGAAACGCATATACAAAAATATATTCATACCAATGAATAGATGACATAACATAACCAATCTCGCTTTTTTTTTTTTATGTCAACGCATAGCTAACTCACTATAATATATTCATGGATATATTATTATATAGATGAGTAAAAGAAATATATAGAGTATATAGCGCTGACTTTAACAGTTATTTACATAGGGCTGTACAAGCTTTTATTACAGGAGTAATAACCCAATAAAAGCTTTATAAAAGAAAAAACTTTACATAACAAAAACTTTTATCACAAGAGGAATAATAAAAAGAAAACACTTTATATAAAAAAACAATACCCACTGGCCACAAGCCACAACCACAATCGGGACAAAAAAGATAACATGATTAAATAAAATTTAAAAGAAAAAAGAAGGAAAAAAGGTAACTTTGGGTGTGACAAGAAGTTTTCTTCTGTTTGGTCTGACTATTCCCTATGGTCAACGGTGGTATTGAGAGCCATTTACAAGCTTCGACACAGAAACCCAGATTGGATAATGATGTCTGTTGCTTATTTTCCCTGTCTTTCGTCTTCTTCTTCTTCTTCTTCTTCTTCTTCTTTAAGCTTAATCTTTCTCAGCTTCTTCTTCTCTTCTTGTTCTCGCCATGATTGACGAGAAGATGAGATCTAAATCCACCTGTCTCCTTGTGAGACCAGTACACATGGTTCTCTTCCTCCTCCTTTATGTTCTTTCCCTCTCTGTCTTTTTATTTACAGTTTCAGAGGCTGTCTGTAATCTCCAAGATCGAGATTCTCTCCTTTTGTTCTCCGGCAACGTATCATCTTCAGTCTCTCCTTTGCATTGGAATTCGTCCACTGATTGTTGCTCCTGGGAAGGAATCTCCTGCGATGATTCTCCCGAAAATCGAGTCACTTCGATTCTTTTGCCCTCCAGAGGACTCTCCGGCAATCTCCCGTCGTCTGTTTTGGATATCCGTCGTCTCTCTCAACTTGACCTTTCCCGTAACCGTCTCTCTGGTCCTCTCCCGCAAGGTTTCTTCTCCGCTCTTGATCAGCTCACGGTTCTTGATCTTAGTTACAACAGTTTCAATGGTGAACTGCCACTTGAACAATCATCTGGCAGTGGAAGCAACCGAAACTTCCCAATTCAGACCGTTGATCTCTCCAGCAATCTTCTTGAGGGAGAAATACTCGGCGGTTCTGTTTTTCTTCAGGGTGCTTTCAATTTGACCAGTTTCAATGTCAGCAACAACAGCTTCACGGGTCCAATCCCTTCCTTCATGTGCACAAATTCACCTCAGCTCACCAAATTGGATTTCTCTTATAACGATTTCACCGGCGATATCTCTCAAGGATTAGGCAGATGCTTGAGGCTAAGTGTTCTTCGGGCAGGCTTCAACAAGCTCTCTGGTGAGATCCCAAAAGAAATCTACAACCTTTCTGAGCTGGAGCAACTCTTTTTACCAGTGAACCATCTTTCTGGAAAGATTGATGATGGGATTACTCGTCTCACCAAACTGAGATTGCTTGAGCTTTACTTCAATCACCTCGAAGGAGAAATACCAGCGGATATAGGTAAGCTTTTCAATCTGCGCAGCCTCCAGCTCCATATCAATAACCTCACAGGTTCTGTCCCGGTTTCTCTTGCCAATTGCACAAAACTTGTGAAGTTGATTTTACGGGTTAATCGGCTGGGAGGAGCTTTATCGGAGCTAGACTTTTCTCGTTTTCAGAGCCTCAGCGTTCTGGACCTTGGAAACAACAGCTTCATCGGCGATTTCCCCTCGACGGTTTACTCCTGCAAAAAGCTCACAGCAATGAGGTTTGCAGGCAACAAGTTAACGGGACAGATATCCCCGCAAGTACTGAAATTGGAGTCCCTGTCGTTCTTTACATTTTCAGACAATAACATGACGAACATTACAGGCGCTATCAGCATTCTGCAAGGCTGCAGGAAGCTGTCTACTCTCATCATTGCAAAGAATTTTTACGACGAAACAATACCAAGCAACGAAGACTTTCTTGCGTCAGATGGGTTTCCAAGTCTCCAAATATTCGGTACGGGTGGATCCAGATTGAAAGGTAAAATACCAGCTTGGCTGGTCAAGCTCAAGAGCGTAGAAGTTATGGACCTGTCACTAAATCGACTCGAGGGGTCGATTCCCGGTTGGCTAGGAACTCTTCCAAACCTCTTTTACTTGGATCTTTCTGATAACCTTCTTACAGGAGAGCTTCCAAAGGAATTGTTTCAGCTGAGGGCTCTGATGTCCCAAAGAGCATACGATGCAACAGAGCGGAGCTATCTAGAGCTTCCTGTCTTTATCAGTCCTGATAATGTCACCATCACTCAGCAATACAATCAGCTTTCCAGCCTCCCACCTGCGATATACATCAGAAAGAATAAACTGACCGGGAGTATACCGATCGAGGTTGGACGGCTAAGGGTTCTCCATGACTTGGAGTTTTTGCAAAACAATTTGTCTGGCAGTATCCCAGATGAATTGTCAAACCTCACAAACTTAGAGAGGCTTGACCTGTCCAACAACAGTCTATCTGGTAGAATCCCTTGGTCGCTCACTGGCCTCCATTTTATGTCCTATTTCAATGTTGCAAACAATACTCTCAGTGGGCCGATACCCACAGGGAGTCAGTTCGATACCTTCAAAAAAGCATATTTTGAAGGAAACCCATTGCTCTGCGGTGGTGTACTGCTAACCCCCTGCACAACTCCAACTCCACACTCTACAACAAAGGTGGATAAAAAGGTCAACAGACCACTTGTTTTGGGGCTTGTCATTGGGCTGTTTTTTGGCGTCAGTTTGATTTTGGTGCTGCTCGCTCTGTGGGTGATGTCGAAGAGGAGGGTAAATCCAGGAGACTCTGAGAACGCCGAACTGGAGATAAACTCCAACGCCTCGTACTCTGAAGTTCCTCCAGGTTCGGAGAAAGACATAAGCCTCGTGCTGCTGTTTGGAAACAGTAGATACGAAGTTAAAGACCTGACTATATTTGAGCTCTTGAAAGCTACCAACAACTTCAGCCAAGCTAATATAATTGGCTGCGGCGGGTTTGGCCTTGTCTATAAGGCTATCTTGGATAACGGGACGAAACTGGCGGTTAAAAAACTCACAGGAGACTATGGTCTGATGGAGAAAGAATTCAAGGCAGAGGTAGAAGTTCTGTCCAGGGCCAAACATGAAAACCTGGTCGCTCTACAAGGTTATTGCGTCCATGATAGCGCACGTATACTTATTTACTCGTTCATGGAGAACGGAAGTCTTGATTATTGGCTGCATGAAAATCCCGAGGGTCCAGCCCAACTGGATTGGCCAAAAAGACTTCACATTGTCAGGGGGGCAAGTTGTGGACTAGCATACATGCACCAGATATGTGAACCACACATAGTGCACCGAGATATCAAGTCCAGCAACATCCTTTTGGATGGAAATTTCAAGGCGTACCTGGCAGATTTCGGGTTGTCAAGATTGATCCTTCCATATCGCACCCATGTTACAACTGAGCTTGTGGGCACATTGGGTTACATTCCCCCAGAGTATGGACAAGCATGGGTAGCCACTTTGAGAGGTGACGTGTACAGTTTTGGTGTCGTCATGCTCGAGCTTCTCACTGGGAAAAGACCAATGGAGGTTTTCAGGCCAAAGATGTCGAGAGAATTGGTCGCGTGGGTTCATCAGACGAGAAGGGAAGGGAAACCAGAGGAGGTTTTTGATCCATTGCTGCGGGAAAGTGGTAATGAAGGAGAGATGCTTCGTGTGCTTGACATAGCCTGCATGTGTGTGAACCAAAATCCTATGAAAAGACCAAACATCCAACAAGTTGTTGACTGGCTTAAAGACATAGAAACGGAGAACACAAACCAAAGTAACAGAGGAGAACCCGAAGAAGAGACATAACTGTGTGCCTTTTTCTACTTTCATCATTAAAAAAACACACATCTGCATAAGTAAATATATACACTTATTTTTTTCTTGTCAAATGCATATCTTAACCATCATTTCCATGTAAATTATATTTTGATGGTAACAGAAGCTTTGATAATGTAAAGAACATGAAATTTTGCAGCTTGTGGCTTTCAAAACTACTTCTTTATTATTTCACACAACATCTTAAGCATTTGAAGCTTCCATATGATATATATAAAAACAGATGCCTGTATAATAAATCAATGAATGTGTCATATCGAATCACAGGATTTCAAAACCAATTTTCTGAAATCACAGTGGATTTTATTGAATTTCTCGCTAGATCTATCATGCTCTTAGCATACGACTGTAAAATTGAAGTGTGTGAGGTTTGTAAGCGGCATTTAAACGAATACGTGGTGTGCATAGTTACCGAAGAGACATCAAGCAAAAGAAAAAATGCAACAAAGAAAAGGGCAAAGAGTGGTATGACCCGAGGCAAAGACGAAGCAAACGAGAGGTTAAATCTGAGAAGCCGAGACATACCTAAGCATCAATGGAGGACGCAGAGACGGAGAGAAAGAAAGAGAGTTTTTGCAAAAAAATTATGAAATGTTTGTCAAACGATAAGCGGTTAGATTTGGACTTTTAAGGTGTGTTTGGATATGCATTTAAATAAAACGGCGTCGTTTGGTGGTAACTGAGAAACGATGCTGCAACTAACCGACTTTGAAAAAGTAATTTCGTTAGGTATTTTTGACTTTTGAGACCATAGCTGATAACTTCACTTTTGTGATCTTGACAATTGTAGCCCTCAAGACCAAAAACCAAAATTGACATTTATGGAATCTCTTATTGGTTACATTATATTTTTCTTAATTATTACAAGTCAACCATAAATAAGGGAGAAAAAAAATAAAACTTAAAAGAACATGATATAGAGGGAGCTAGAGGCCAAAACACCTAATCTGATTTAGATCAAGATTAACAAGAAACCCTCTCTATACTCTGTCTTCATGATCTTATAAAAATATGGCCGAAGAAACCCTCATCAACGATGTCGGTGGAACATCTGTTGAAATGAAAATCTCCAATAGAACGTTTTTTCTAAGTCACGTGTGAAGCAAGTAAGCAGGCGGGAAGCCAAAACCCTAGTTCATGTTAAGGGAAAAAGGCACACAAGAAACTCTAGATGTGTTGGAGGTCAACCAAAAGAATGAATTTAGTTGAATCAAATATAGCCTTATGACTCATATCTTAAGGTTATAATCTTTTAGTAGTCGTCGTCGTGATCAATGTATGAGCGGAGGAGCATGGTGGCGCAGCGGCGGAGTATATATAGACGGGCACGATGCTGTTTCACCAACGAAGAACATTTGGTTGTGGAGCTAATCCGGGATTTGGAATTAGGTTTTTTCTTCGCCGGAAATTCAGCCATGGATATAATTTAATTGTCTGATTCTAGATATGAGGATGTAGCTATCTATATTACTATATATATGCGTCTGATCTCGAATTTTGATTTACATAGAAAATGGAGTCTATGGAGCTAATGGATAATGATAAGAGCTAGAAAAAAAGGTATCGTAGAGACCAAGAAACGTTGATTTTTCTTGGATATGAAGGAAACGCAAGGGACTGAACATGGTCTTATTTTGGTCTCGACAAAATCAAGGGATTTGCCCGAGAAGGAATATCTCGCCATACGAGGACGGAGTTTACTTGTAACATACAATATATATGTGATAGTATCAAGATATTTAATTTACATGTATCACACACTTAGAGTTAATAAAAAAAAATAAAGTTCCAAGATTTGTGCGTCTTACATACAATTTTGCTTCCACGGTTTTTTTTTTTAAAAGTCTTTACCTTTTCTTATTCTATATTAGTTCTAGTTCTACTCGAGTAGACTAGCTAGTTGATGTTCGATGTATGTCAACGAGATGTGGAACAAAGAAGTTTCTAAGAAGATATGTGTAGAGATTATTTCTATCTTTCCTCACTTTTTTTGTTTGCCTCGAACAAGGTATATGTTCCTCTAAGATAGGCATAAATCCCCATTGATTCGGATATAAGAGATATGCTAATACATAAAATAAGAAAAGGTAAAGACTTCATTTGCAAATTATATGTTGGATATTATCATGCCTACAAAATGTTTATGTTAGAAACGAAAGTGTGAGAAGAACGTTTCATTTAGTAATTACAGATGGAAATTTTGAGACTTTTAATTGTTGAACAGATGTTTGGTACTGAATTGTGTCAACCTTTAAAATATCTGCTATAACTTTTATATTCCATTCTTGATACACGCTTCCAGCTTTATTATCAGTTATTATTGGGAGATCGATGAGATCGACCATACTGATAAGGATCCAAAAGATTATGGAAGATCTTAGTTTAGGAAATTTACATTTATCTCTAAATATATTATTTACATTTATGTTTATCTTAAATTAGGAAAGTTAGGTTTAGCTTATCTCTATATAATAGAATGCATTTTGTAATATTATTTTTATGAGAGTCTAATATAATTCTTTCTAAACACTTTTGTGTTCTTATGCTCATCAATTAATCATGGTATCAGAACCTAGATCCAATTCTCATGGATTGTGGTTTTTTGTTTTTCTTTCTATCTTCTTCACGTATGTGGTGGTGCTGAAGACACCAAAGTTGAAGTCTGTTTGTAGCTTATTTTATTATTTCGGCCAATAAATAGTCATATCAAGGCAATTTGAATTTTTAATTGGCTAGCACAATTGCTAGTATTTTTGGAGAACACGTTCCGAAGATGGTGTTTCTCTTTATGATTTCATGATCCCATATATTACATGTATGGCAATTTTTTATGAGCATGGACCTTTGATTTTGGTTCGTTTATATTTGATGATGTTTTCTGCCCTCTCAAAGATATTCTTTTGATTCAACTTCTTTTACTCGTGAGTTGTTATTTCGCAATCGCGAATTATTTTTGGACATCGCAGTTGCGAGTTTTGTCCTTTCTACTATTTGAAGAACCCTACGACCGGGTATAAACGTCGTTAATGACCTAACGGCTGGGTGTTGAAGCCAATTGACTCGACGGTGGAGTATAACACCGATATTTTGAAGACATGTCCAATCTCATACGTGTTACCACATATGAGCTTGCGGGAGGATATTGGGAGATCGATGAGATCGACCATACTGATAAGGATTCAGAAGATTATGGAAGATCTTAGTTTAAGAAATTTACATTTATCTCTAAATATATTATTTACATTTATGTTTATCTTAAATTAGGAAAGTTAGGTTTAGCTTATCTCTATATAAGAGAATGCATCTTGTAATATTATTTTTATGAGAGGCTAATATTTCTCATCAATTTATCAGTTATGGAAACATGCTTCCAAATTATCGCCTCTGCAGAAAAAAGGTAACAACTGAGGATGAATAAGCTGTTTTCATTGTGATTCCAAGTAATGGATCCCAATCTGTGAATGTATTGGTTACTGAATTGGAGGCTTTGCACGTTTTCTTCAAATAACGATTAACCATCTCGTACTTTGGACCTTGAAGAAGCGCTTATACCAGGACGGAGAAAAGAATATGTACACTTGAGAAGAAAGTATGATTTCGAGAGGCTTAGCTTTAGAGGAATGAAGGAATTGGAGGCTCAGCTTTAGACAGGTTGTAGCTTTTCTCATTAAATTGCTTGAACCAATCCACAATTGTAATTATGAAAAGGTGCATGTTCTTAGATTTTTGTAGGAATCTGGTCAATGAACTTGGCGGATGCCTAAATTCTCATCGGAATTGATGCCACTTTGTGTTTTTGTTTGGTCCTAATCTAAAGCATATGGTTGCAAATCGATGATGCAAAGCTGTAGTAACAAACATCAATCACTCAGTTTTGAAGTATTAGAGACGGTCAGAAACTGTTAGGGCTGACAAAAGAATCAGCGTAAAAAATCCAATACTTACACACAACCAAACAAGATCGTCCTCTTCGTGTTTGAATCATCATCTTTTTCGTTGAGATCATAAAATGACAAGACCTTTTTCTTTTTACCTTCTCAAGCAGAATGCTCCTCAGCATTTTCCCTGCAGACATTGAGGATACTTGAAAGGGAGCTTTATTACAGGCTGATCACCGGACAGCCCTTGACTTGCCATGCCATACGCGTATCCTAACGCAATCCCTACAGGAACAGCCACCGCATTCCCAACCTGGCAGTATCTGAAACTCAGATGCAAAACAAGTATTTTAATATTAGAAATCTCCAACGTCAAACACACAGCAAAATCTAGAAACATGCTTGTAAAGGAGCAGGAACTAATGGCTTACTTTTCCTTTATTGGTCCACATAGCTTGTAAAAATCAGGGAACCCCTGTAATCTGGCATTCTCACGGACAGTCAACACACGATCTTGCAACGGATGGATTAGAGTCTGCAGAAACCAAATTTAATGACAAAGTGGTTACTAAATAATTCAAGGGGTGCACAAAAAGAAAATGGAAATGTAAGAAAAAAAAAGACTTACTTGGTTGTGAGGTTGTGCTCTTGTCACAACCGTATTAACAATCTCATCCCACCACAATCGACCAAATGGCCTGACATTCAGATAGCAAATGAGTTACTTTACTGAATCTAAAATTACCAGGTAATGGAAATAGAATCCAAGAGAAGCATATTAGTAATAGGTAGTCACTTTGTTGATGTTCCGTTTTTGAATGACACTGCATAATCAGGAACCTGAAGAATACAAACGCCATGTCATAAAGAAGCTGAAGAAAAAAACATAAGGCTGGGGATGAATTCATTTGTACCAGATATTTTCCAGATTTCAGTTTTGGTCGCTCTACAGAAGGGTCAAATTTTACTGTATTGTTGTCTCTAACTAAAACACCAGCCAAACTTCTGAAGTTGGCACCCTGTAGCAGTAAGAGTACAATAACATGAACAAGAGATTATTACACACTGAACCAGTAAGCAAGTACTATAACATATAGCATCAAAAGATAGCCACACCTTCTTCTTTTCTATTTGGCAAACCCGTTCAAAATCGTCCTCATTTAGTTGAAGTGGTTGATGGTCATACAGCTTTCTTGACTGTGAAGCATCTCCACCACCCATTGGGATTAGGGAATCTGAAACAAGAATATTCGTTACTATTAGGTCAGCGTTTATGGAAAATCTTTGGATTTTAAGATTCTCACCAGCTCTTGTAAGACTTATGAACTTCTGGAAGTCCGTTTGGGGTTCTGTTTCATAGCTCCTTTCATCTTTCTCCTCACAATTTGTCGCCTGCAGCATAAAAAAAGACGCATTGAACAGTGAACTTTGAACACATAATATTTTATAGTCAAATATGACCATTTTTAAGGCTTAGATACACACTGGTGGGAGATCGCTTATCGCATCTGCAAGAGTAGGAGCCTTTTCTAACTGAAGAAGATTCTTCTGGCTATGTCCAACTTGTATTTCCTGCATTTACAACTAAATGAATAAGCAATGCAAATGATAGTAAAAGTCTATGAGATTTAAAAGTAAAACCGTCCACAAAAGAAAATGACTTACCTCAAATTCTTTAGGGGCTAATAAGCTTTTTCCGAGAATCTCGTGAGTGGGCAAAGGGTACGGAGGCAGTTTCTGTTAACAAAATTATGAGAGAGCAATAAAGATCATGTCCTTATATTAGTCCTAACTTATTATGTAACAACTATTTACCTCTGTTGGTTGAGCGCCCCATAGAAATACTCTGTTTCTGATTTGAGGAAGACCATAAGAACCCGCAGCCATCATGCCTAGTCTCGTCTGATAGTTCATCGCAACCAGACGAGCCACAGCATAACGGGCTAAAAACCCATTCGAAAACTTCAGCAGATCGACGACATTTTCCATGAGCACGTAATTTGGCTTCAGATAGTTGATCATGTCCATATATACCAACAATTGCTTGTTTTTTTCATCTTGAAGCGGTGCATCTTTATTTCTGAAACGGTTAAAGCCACTAACCCCTTGACATGGAGGACCTCCACACACAAAATGAACACCACCCTGAGATGGAAACAAATTTTGAAAAGACTAAAGTTATTTCAAAAGCGAAAACCAGAAAACTTCAGAGGATGTATTCTTTATGAACCAAAATCTTATATATAGTGATGATAATGTTGGTAGCAGTACAATTCAGGGGAAGTGGCAATAGGTTCGACTTAAACCCTACAATAGGATTTGATTTATACATCAAACGTGTAGTAAAGCTTGATGAAAAAGCTACAGATTAAAAATAGCTAAAAATGCTATTTAAAGCAAGTAAAAAGACTTACAGGAAGTGGCAATAGGTTCGACTTAAACCCTTCTGTGACAAACTCCTTTAACTTATCTTTGCATTCACTGGTGTAAATATATAAGTAAACCATATCAATAACCATAAAATATCAATGCAAACGGAGACAAATAAAGTAATATGGAATTGTTACCGTATTCCATCATAAGGCTCCCAAGTGTCTTCCTCAGAACCATAACCTTTCCAGTGCACCTGAAAGTATTGGAACAGAATGAAAGCTAATGTTTGAATTACAAAAAATAGATTTGTGTGTACCTAACGGAGATTCCGGTTTTTATAATCAAGTGGGTGTACCTTAAGATGAAGTACAGAAGAAGCATCCTTAACTTCATTGGGATTTCCAAAACAAATAGCAACGAACTTTTCTACCTCGAACTCTCCAGGTGGAATATCAGACTCATCACTGTCCCCGTATGCATCATCCTTTTTGTCGCCATCTTCTTCTTCATCTTCTAAATCTTTATCTGACTCTATTTTCTCGGTACTGGAAATAAGTGCAAACTTCAGGCATAGCTTTCTCCATTCTTTGAGCAATCTTAGAAAGTCTTCTGCAGCTTCATTTCTCACCTGCTCAACGCCTCAACGTTCCTAAATCAATTGATTATATGTGTGGACACTGAATCTACTATATAAATACCGCCACTATAGTATAACCTCGGTTTCAGGGTGATTAAGTTTCAAACTAGCACAAGCGAATTTATTGATGTCTACTGCCCATTTCTGCAAAACCAGAAATAGCAAAGTAAATCTTTTGCTCAGATACAGCAAAAAATTTCAATGTGGGGAACACATTTCATACAACCAACAAAGTGAAACATGAGCATTCATGAAAAAATGTATACCGTAGTCAATTTTATGCCTGCCAGGGATGCTCCCATACACAACCCCGTTGACATTGCTCCGCAGCCAGAGTACAGATCCAACAAGTATTTTTCATTCTTCTGCGGGTTTTCAATGCAATTGGTGTCACAACCACTCGAAATTGTTGATGATGGTACACTATCTGTGTTAACTGTTAACATTTTTTGGCAAGACAGACTTCATCAGTTTTCTTCAAAACACTATCAAGAAATTTGGTAAGGCTATGAATGATACAACTACAGAAACCAAACCTTGAACGACTAAAGTTGACATTAGTTAAAACAGTAACCATGTGCAATAGAAATTTACCATCATCTACACATGAAATGGTGAGGTGGTCCAAGTCATATCCCATGTCATAGTAGTATTCGCATGGTTGTGGCATTATTCTCTCCTCAGGTCTTGAAACGACCTGTTGTAACAAGTGTGTTAAGCATCAGATTGAATACATTCATAAAAAGACACAGCAGAAGACTTTTCATTCAGAATAATTTACACCTTTGGAGGAATTTTAAGAATCTCCACCCTCGAGATGATGCAGTTGAGAGGATTGTCATCCTCAACATTAGAAAGAAAAACTCTATTTCTTTGCACATAATGTGCAAGGCCTTTAATCACCTACAATTAAGAGAATCCATCAGCAGGAGCAAGAGGCATTGTTTCAAATGAAAGGGAAAAACCTAATCAAGGCAATAACATCTCACCGTGTCTTCAGGTCTATAGAACCATCTAGCTCTAAAATAAGCTTCTTTGTCGATCGATTCAAAGAATTCCACAATTTTAGCGATATAGTTAGGCTTATTCTCTTCAGCCTGCATTGAAAGCATTACTTCATACACCATATACATTGTTATCTCTCTATCTAACTCATATCAACAACAAAATGTACAGTAGAAATATCTATCTCTAACTCAAAATGACAATATGAAGTTTTCCTGAACCTAATTCAGTAATCTAATCGCAGCGACATAAAACAAAACAAATCGGTACCTTAACGTAGACATCATCGCCAAGAGCGATTTGAATTCCATCTACATTAGCTCGGCGATAATGATGCGTTGCCTGCATTTTTTCCTCTTCCTCGCCACTGTGTTGAGCACCACGAAGGCAGATAAGCAACAAAATCATTAGAGAAACGAATCAGAAAAGGAATTTCGAAGATGACTTTAACAGTGAAAGAAAAAAAAAACCAATTACCAGTCGACATTCACGGATTTTCGCGCCTTTGAAGAACTGTAGCGAAATGGCCATTTGCTCATAGCTTCGGCGAGCGGGATGGGTTCTCCAACAAAGCACGGATTCGGTTCGGGTTCAGCCCGCTTTTTTGTACTTCCAGCCATTTGACTAATCTGGTCTTCGTGCGTCTGAGAAAGAGAAGAGAAAGCGGCACAGAGAGGAAGAAGAAAAGGGAGTGTGTTTTTTTTTGGGAAATGGAGAAAGAAAAAAAAAACTTTTGAGCTATCTTCAAAATTTTGGGAAAATCAGTAAGCGGGAGAATCTCGGTTTCTTTTATTCATTTTTCTATTTCTATTTAAGTTAGATTTTATTGGGCCTAATATAAAGGGCCCATATAGGAAACTAGATAAAGGAATGGGAAATTAAGTAAAGATTATTATTTTCACAATTACGGTTTTTATTCGTTATTATTTTCTAGTCTTAACTAGGTGACAAATAGCAATTAGAATCATCACGATTCCTACAAATTTGGTGAGATGGGAAAGCTTGTGCGGTTAAAATTAAGACCCTGTCAAAGAAAATATATATATATATATATATTCTATGTTAGTAAAAAACCCTACTTAAATGTTTTTTGGCTTTTTCCTCACGTCACATAAGTCTCGTAATAAGTGACATGGATCACTGGTTTCTAATTTAGTACAGAGAGGGTTGAAAATAGTAGTCGAATCAAACTTCGATTTTCAGCACGAGGAATATGCACAATGGTTCATGCTAACTAACATATACGATAAAATAATTCATGGGAAAAAGACAAGATGTCAAACAGATAGATTAATTAGGGTTTCAACGTACGAATGATGGTAAGAACATATGGTGGAAATCATAAGACAAAAAAAGAGCGAAAATTCAATTTTTTTGTTTTCTTATAAAAGCCAGCTCAACAATAATAATCACAAAGCGACAGCAATCAAGAAGTGGAAGAAAATGGCAGAGTAAAACTTACAGTATAAGATACGTATACAAATACATGTACGCATCACATTAAGGGTTTTTTGTTCAACTAAATTTGAATCGATAAAAACCTTTCAACTATTTTTGTAACGTAAAAACACCTCAACTAAGTTTTTGTAATGATTTAGTCCCTCCGTGAACAGCACCGCCAAATCTTAACAAATCGTTTTTTTTTAGCAAAAACTACACGATTTTTACTATAAATAACAAACTTTTTGAAAACCAGTTATAAGAATCCCAAATTAAACCTAAGCTCAAAAATCCTCAAATTCTTAAACCTAAATTAATGAACCCTAAATTTTGAAAGTGTGATTCTAAGTAGTTTTTATGGTTTGGAAGTCAATTGGGTGAGCTTGGAAATGATTTGTTGTGTTGATTAAAATGAATTTGAGAGAAAAACCTTTGAATTGAGAGAAATATTTTCGTAAATTGGGAGAAAAAAGAGAAAGAATCAAAAATCTGAAGCTTTGAAGAAGATGAGGCAACTGTTTTACTTTGATGTTTAAAACCTTGTTCTTCTTCCTTCAACGAATTTACTTAGAAGAAGAATTTAAGAGATTTTCAAATTGAATGAGGAACCCTAATTTTTGAATTGGGGATTTTTATAGTTTCAAATCGATTTTGAGTTTTTTTTATTGAAGTCATTTTTTTTATAAAATACAAAACACCACGTTTTCATTTAACTGTAATCCGTTAAGATTTGACGGTACTGTTTACAGAGGGGCTAAATCATTACGAAAACTTAGTTAAGAGATTTTTACATTACAAAAATAGTTGAGGAGTTTCTATCCGATTCAAACTTAGTTGAGGAGTTTTTTCACTAAAACCTCTCACATTAACTATATAAATACATGTACATTTTATCTATTTATGTGAATTATATATATAAGTAATATATTGTAAAATGGGTTTCAAAATATAGATATAATTTCGATGTAACTGATAGTGTAGAAATTATTGTTAAATTAATTTTTATAAAAATAAAATATGTGGTATATAAGTTTGGAGGAAAAAGAGAAAAGAGAAAAAATAAAATGGAAAAGAAAGCAGATATTTTTTTTATTTTACAAGAGAAAAGGAAACAAAAGAAAGAGATTTTTTTTATCTTTAGCTAATAAATTATAAATGATAGAAGAATGAGATAATTATCTTTTAATTAATATAAAAAGTAAGAAAATGTTAGAGTAGTAGAAAGTGATATAGAATATAATTAAAAATCAGAAAGTGATATAGAATGTAAAAACTCTTTAATTAACTACAAACCAACTCCTTTGTAAAATAATTCAGATGATAGAAATACATAATATTTGAGTTTTTTAAAAACATAATAATATTCCAACTAAAGTCCCATATTCATACAGTACCGCTTGTATGCTAATTAGTGAAGTTTAAGCTCTCTTTCTCTGAGCTCTCCCTCTCTCCCTCTCTCACTCTCTCTCTCTTCTCTCTCTCTTTTTAAAAAATGATTTTAGGAGTTCACAAAGGACCATAAGCCTAAGATTGATAAAAAAAATTTCTAGCTCCGCCGCTGATCTAGGGAAAGTATATATATGGACCAAATGCCTATATAAACATTTGCCAGAAGTATGAAGTATATATCATGTAAATACTTTAGGTGCAACTAAATGAATAACTCAAGTCTCATCCCCGAGTCCCATTTTCACATGCTTGGAAGTCACCTAATTCTCAACTCTCTAGTGACTCTTACAAATCGGACGCATTTTTTTCTTCCGGAGGAAGTAACTGGTGACTCTCTCTCTTTCTAGAAATAATGTTAATTTTCTTTATTCTTTTATTTTAAAGAGAGCCTACTTTATTCATCTTTTTCCCCAAAAAGGTATCTTTTGGAACTACAATGCAAATTTAGCACAAGATGTAAATAAAATACAAACAAGACATAATTTTTGACAAGTGTGAAGCAAACACATTTTTTTCTCACGTTAATAAGTCTCGTGATAGCCTGGTAGGTGACATAAATCATTGGTTTCTAACTTAGTACAGAGAGGATTGAAAATAGGGGTTTATACTTTAGTAGTCGAATCAAACTTCGATTTTCAGCACGAGGAACATGCTCAATGGTTCATGTTAACTAAAATATTAAGGACGATAAAATAATTCATGGGAAGAAGACAAGATTTAAAACAGAGATTAGGGAACCAACGTATGAATGACTGTGTGTGATGGTAAATACATGGTGGAAATCATAAGAAAAAAGGAAAAAAGAGTGAAAATTCAAAAAAATGTTTTTTTTTTCTATAAAAGCCAGCCCTAGAATAATAATCACAAAGCGACAACAATCAAGAAGAAAAAGGCTAATTAAAACTTACAGTATAAGAGAGAAAAATCCAGAAGACTCTGCATAATCTACGAGTAGTGAACCATATCTTTATTTTTTGGAATGAACATAACACCCTAAATATATATTCTTATAATCTATTTAATCAACAACACAACAAATCCTTTGTAATTTAATTTGGAGGATAGAAAATAGATAATATATAAGTTTTAAAAAAATTAATAATAATATTAATTCCAACGAGTCCCATCTTCATATTGTCTATGGTTATCGGACAGTAGCTTGTATGCTAATTAGAGAAGTTCTCTCTCTCTCTCTAAAAAATGAGTTTAGGTGTTCACAAAGGACCATAAGCCTAAGATTAGAGAAGAGTTGTTAGTTGCTAAGGAGATCAGAATCAAGTTAACTATAAAGATGTTTTTCTATACGAAAAAGAAGATAGAGTGTAAGCATTTAATACTCCATCTTTTTTTTTTAATCTTGAACCAGAATGCGACAACTAACAAAGAAAAGGCATTTTTGTGTGTGTCATTTGACACAGCGCCTGTATCCAAAAGGTATCACAGTTTTCAGAAATTCTAAAAAAAAAATTGTTAACATCAAATCTGAGAAACTTTGATTAAACTCTGGATTTATCAATTATATATCACAATGTTTTAATTACCGATATGTGAAAGGACAAATAAAAATCAGAGGCTTGGAGTGCAATTTAACCTTTACTGGTTACGTTTAACAAAAACAAGGATATGGAATCTTTGGTAATAGGTCATTAAAATAATAAGAATATCTGATACTAAAGTTGTGTCTCATAAGGCGCTGGAAAACATAATTTTATTTAATTTTACGATGAAAGTAAAGAAAAGTTCTGGTAATACATGCGTGCATGCGGGTATTATCTCAACCCATTATTTTTGGCCATGGACAAGTCTCAGGCTTTACAATATTACATGATTTTTGTATTGTCGTTTGACTAGTAGAATGGGAACATCCTTAGACCTAACTTCTCAACCCGAGAAGTAGAAGTAGTAGTAGCATAATCACCGACGACCTTGACGAACTTGACGAGTAAGGTCTTAGCATCATCATTGGTGACAACTAGTTGTGGTGCACCTGACCAGCCCCCTGGGATAGCTCCAACGGTTCCGGTAGAGGTGCTCAACTTGTAAGTGTTTTCTCCTTTTCCTTCTCCAGCTTTCTCAATCTTAAACGAGCTATTATGGCTAAACCGGCTACCACCGATGAGAATCGCCCGCTCCTCACGAGCCGATGAGGAATCATCGAATTCCCATAACTTGGAAAACTCGGTGCAGACCGGCCAGATATTGGACTCGAACTCTATGTTTACTTGTGCAGATGTATGGACGATGGTTTCCGTGGTGAAGCCTTGATAATTGAAACTAACCGGTAGGCCAGGCTGGCTCGAAAGGAGTGTTTGGGTGATGCCAAGTGGACAAAAGGGAAGTATCGTAATGGCGGCTGGGACAAGACCACCTCCATTGTTACTTTCGGTCTTAACCGGCTGAATAAAGTATTGTTGACTGATTGTAAGTGGATTTCCGGAGATGTCTTTCACCGGTTCATCTGATCCCTGGGTGCAAACAGCTGCAGCCAACAGGAGAGTGATGAGAAAAGAGAGCATTGAAGGTTTCTTCATTGTGATTGTTTTTGTGTTTTTAGGGTTTGAGTGAGTTGAGATGTAGAGAGCAAACCCATTGTGTCGGTATTTATAGGAAGTTTATGCGGTCAAGTTTTAAACCGCGTCTGATGGTAAAATGAAGAGATGAATCTGTCACTTTTGTTAAATAAAAACCTAAAATTATCAACTTGAAATATTATTTTCCTCACCTCACATTTGATATTCTGATAAGCTTTAAAGATGAGTTCAGACTTTAAACTCTAATGGCCATTAGATTTTCGGCACGAGGAACATGCACAAAGCACAATGGTCCATGTTAACTAACAAACATATTTAGCAAAAAGAAAGGACGACCAATATAGGACATTTATTGCAGAGCAAGTACATTTTTTTTACTCTGTTCATTTCTTACTCTTCTTGATTCTTATCGCTTTGTGGTTATAAGACTGGACTATTATTGTAGAACACGCATATTTGCTTTTACTATGTACTGTGGACTTCTGCATAAGCACCCTAGAACTAGAGCTAAAAATTTACTTCGAGTCTATTGCTATGTTTGGAAAATGATGATATTTATGAATTTATCAATCTATGGAGAGTATATATTTATATGGACCAAATGCCTAAACCATTCTGATTAACCAGAATTTTATGAAGTATATTATGTAAATAATTTGGGTGCAACTAAATGAATAACTCAAGTCTCATCCCCGAGTCCCATTTTCAAATGCATGGAAGTTCACCAAATTCTCAACTCTCTAGTGACTTTTACACATCCGACGTTTTTTTTTTCTTCTGGAGAAAGTAACTGGTGACTCTCTCTCTCTATAAATAATGTTAAATTATTTATAAAAGAGCCTACTTAATTTATTAATCTTCTTCCCCAAAAAGGGCATCTTTTGAAACTACAATGCAAATTTAGCACAAGATGTAAATAAAATACAAACAAGACATAACTTGTGAAACAAGTGTGAAGCAAACAAATTTTTCTCACGTTACATTCTGATAAGTCTCGTGATAGGTGACACGGATCATTGATTTCTAACTTAGTACAGAGAGGGTTGAAAATAGGGGTTTATACTCTAGTAGTCGAATCAAACTTTCGGTTTTCAGCACGAGGAACATGGTTCATGTTAACTAAAATATTGAGGACGATATATAGAATAATTCATGGGAAGAAGACAAGCTTTTAAACAGAGAGATTAGAAAATTAACGTACGAATGATTGTGTGTGATGGTAAGAACATGATGGAAATCATAAGAAAAAAGGAATGAAGAGCGAAAATTCAAGAAAATTGTTTTTTTTCCTACAAAATCCAGCACTACAATAATAATCACAAAGCGAAAACAATCAAGAAGAGGAAGACAAGACTGATTAAACCTTACAGTATAAGAGAGAAAATCTAGAAGAATTCGCATAATCTACGAGTAGAGCCATATTTTTTTTGGAATTAACATAACACCATACACAACACGCTTTCTCCACAAAAAAAAATAATAACACATATGTATACAGCATACAAAATCTCTGTATAGGTGTTTTATTTAATTTTTTGATAAATCAATTATACATATTCTCCTCCTAGTTTTATAACCTTTCATTGCTCCAATCACGAAGAAACACGTAACCACTCGAGCATTTTACTCCTAAAATTAATGCAATGACTATACCCGGCCACTGTTTAATTAAGTTGTGTTTTACTTGTCTGTAACGATCCTCTCATATTCTCATTTTAAGATTTTCCTACATAAATATACTCTTATAACCTATTTAATCAACAATAACTCTTTTTGTAATTTAATTTGGAGGATAGAAAATAGATAATATTCGACTTTTATTTAAAAAAAAAATAATAATATTCGGACTAAAGTTCCATCTTCATATTGTCCATGGTTATCGGACAGTAGCTTGTATGCTAATTAGTGAAGTTCTCTCTCTCTCTCCCTCTCTCTCTTAAAAAATGATTTTAAGAGCTCACAAATGACCATAAGCGTAAGATTAGAGAAGAGTTGTTAGTTGCTAAGGAGATCAGAATTAAGATAACCATAAAATGATGCTCTGTTTTTCTTATACTTTACGAAAGAAGATAGAATATAAGCATTTAATACTCCATCCTTTTTTTTTTGTCTTGAACCAGAATGCGACAACTAACAAAGAAAAGGCATTTTTGGATGTGTCATTTAACGCAGCGCCTGTATCCAATAGGTATCATAGTTTTCAGAAATTCTGAGATTTTTTTTTGTTTACATCAAATCTGAGATTGAGAAACTTTGTTTAAAACTCTGGATTAATCAATTATATAATCACGGTGTTTTACCGATGTATAAAGACAAATTAAATAAAAATCAGAGGCTTGGAGTGCAATTCAACTTTTACTGGTTAGTTTAACAAATAGGTCATTGGTAATAGGTCACTAGAACTAGAATATCTGATACTAATTAAAGTTGTGTCTCATAAAGCGCTGGAAAACATAATTTTATTTAATTTTATGATGAAAGTAAAGAAAAGTTCAGGTAATACATGCGTGCATGCGGGTATTCTGTAAAACAACTTATTGTATTCTCAACTTATTGTAAAACAACCCATTATTTTTGGCCATGGACAAGTCTCAGGCTTTACAATATTACATGATTTTTGTATTGTCGTTTGACTAGTAGAATGGGAACATCCTTAGACCTAACTTCTCAACCCGAGAAGTTGAAGTAGTAGTAGCATAATCACCGATGACCTTGACGAACTTGACGATTAAGGTCTTAACATCATCATTGGTGACAACTAGTTGTTGTGCACCTGACCAGCCCCCTGGGATATATAGCTCCAACGGTTCCGGTAGAGGTGGTCAACTTGTAAGTGTTTTCTCCTTTTCCTTCTCCAGCTTTCTCAATCTTAAACGAGCTATTATGGCTAAACCGGCTACCACCGATGAGAATCGCCCGCTCCTCACGAGCCGATGAGGAATCATGGAATTCCCATAACTTGACCGGCCGTGGTGGTAGCCTTGATAATGGAAACTAACCGGTAGGCCCGGCTGGCTCGAAAGGAGTGTTTGTTAATAAAACTCAAAATTATCAACTCTAAATATTATTGGCTTTTTCCTCACCTCACATTTGACATTATGATTAAAGATGTATGTGGTTTTAGACTTTAGACTCTAATGACAATTAGATTTTCAGCACGAGGAACATGCACAATGGTCCATGTTAAGTTGTTAACTAACAACATATATAGCAAAAAAGAAAAGGACGATCAATAAGACAATATTGCAGAGCAAGTGTATTTTTTTTTTTTACTCTGTCCATTTCTTACTCTTCTTGATTCTTGTCGCTTTTTGGTTAAAGACTGGACTATCATTGTCGAACAAGGATTTTTTTTTTTTATTTTACTTATATGTACTAACACTGTCGTCACTCGTCAGTCATTAAGTGTTGAGCAATGATTCCTTGATTGTCCCTGAAAAGGAAAAGGCAAACAAGAATCATTCAACATCAAAGAACTAAAGTCTAAAGCTAAGAGATCAAGAAGAAGAAGAGAAGTGTCGAAGAGAAGACGGAAGAAGATGAAAAGGTCAACAAAGTCAACAAAAGAGAAGATGGGCCATAAGAGTAGAATTGCCCAAAGGAGATCAATGGGCCTGCGTTTTCTGTCTAAAGCCCAAGTTGTTTTGGTTAGAATAACTAAGTCCTAGTTAGTCTAAGTTAGTCTAAATTGTAGTAGTTAAGAGTCAGTAAGAGTTGTTAGTGTTCAGAGCAACTGTTTCTTGTGAGCTTAGTCTAGAAACTAGAAGAAATTATTAAGTCTAGTGAGCTAAAAAGGATGAAGGTAACTAGTAAAATCGCGATATGTATAAGAAAAGGAGAGAAGAGGAGTGTAGAACAATGTATGAAAAAGAATAATGAGAATGAGAGTTGAAGTTAGCAAAAGCTCAAAGAGAGAAAACTAACCTGGGTGAAACAAAGAGTGGTGTTCAACATTAAGGATTCAACTGCTACCAACGAGTGCCAAAAATGTAGGCAAGTGGTATTTCATCGAGCTTATTGAACTGCATGCGGATTTTTTTAAGTGGGAATGTAAGTATATTTATGAAAATATAGTGTACATCGAATATACAATATTTGTTTGATGACAGCATACTCATTTTAGCTTAAGACCACTAATAATGTTATAGACAAACGGTTTTTTCTCAACTCACTGAACTTATATGGTTGAGTGAGAATGTAAATAATTCTTAAGTGTTACTTCCACCATTTTTTTTACTTCCTTCATTTCATTATAAACGATGTTTAAGGTTTTCTAAACCGATTAAAAAAATCATTTTGATTTCTGTTTTTTGCTGAACTAAAATATCATTTATTACTCGTATATTTAGCACAATTTAACCAATTATAAAACAATCTGTAAAATATAAATGGTGATAACAAAAAAAAAACTAGTCAATTTTGCATAAAAGTTGAAAGCATCATATAATTTGAAACAAAACAAAATTCTTAAAAATCACTTAATATTAATTGGAGAATGTATATATATATGTATATATATCAAATATGAATATATGGGTTTAGACTTTAGACTCAAATGACCATTAGATTTTCAGCATGAGGAACATGCACAATGGTCAATTTTAACCAACATCTGTGGACTTTTTGCATAAGGACCCTAGACCTAGAACAGGAACTGAACTTAATCAGATCTTAATTTACGTCGAGTTTATTGCTATGTTTGGAAAATGATGATATTTCTGAATTTATCAATCTAATGAGACTATATATGGACCAAATGCCTAAACCATTCTGATTAGCCAGAAGTATGAAGTATATCATGTAAATAATTTGGGTGCAACTAGATGAATAAGTCTAGTCTCATCTCCGAGTCTCATTTTCACATGCACGAAAGTTCACCAAATTCTCAACTCTCTAGTGACTCTTACAAATCCAACGCTTTTTTTTTCTTCCGGAAGAAGTAACTGGTGACTCTCTCTCTTCCTCTCTCCCTCTCTCCCTCTCTCCCTCTCTCCCTCTCTCCCTCTCTCTCTAGAAATAATGCTAATGAAATAGGATATTAATGAAGGTATATCCAAATAGAGATGGTTATGTAAAGGGCAATTCATGCTCACTCTACTTGTTGAGCTAGTGAGCGTAATGATAAGGCTCCTGTTCGAGCCAAGCTACGAGTTCTTGATCAATCCCATCTAACCACGTGGAGACACTAGGTTAGTGTTTCACGCTATCTTTATGTCCTTTAATGTTGTTCTCTGCCAAAACTTTTGATTGATTTCTCGTCTCTTTTCTTATGGACAGTGGAGGGATGGCGTAATGCAACATATAATAATAATGGATGGGGTTTTGAGAAGTTTGTACCACTTGCCGACCTTAAAGAAAGCATCTAAAGGTTTAGTGGTGGAAAATGCGCTCAAGGTTGAAGTCGAGATCAATGCTTTCTCTAAAACAGACTCAACCTTAAGTGACTATAATTAGGATTTGGTTCATATCCTAAATAATTATTAAAGAGTTTCTAACTCCTTTTTTAATCAGACTTGGGTTTGGTTAGTTCCACTCACAACGTGATCACTCTTATTTCTTATTTCTGTAAGAACGACCATATTTTGGATAAAGCGTTGTTTTAGAGATTTTTTGTGTTTGATTTTTGTTGTTTTGGAGATTTAATAAAGCAATTTTCTCCAATTTCTAATTTTTTATAAAAAAAACAGTTATATTTTTTAAACAAGAAAAGAAGAATATGCATTAACTCTGACAAGATTTATGTATAATATATTTGGGGTCGACAAAAGAATAGATCGAACTAGAAATATAAGAAACAGAGAAATTGGATGCATTAAATATATATAAATCATGGAGATCGCAGACGTGGCGACCATTTTCAACTCATAAGCCAATCAAAACGACAGGAGAGGCGTGTCCATTCGTTGACCGAGAAGCGTCGGAACGGCATGATGTTTATTACAAGAACAAATGGATCCTATTGGTTAAAGCACGTCACGAGACAAACGAAATAAATGTCTCCAACACGCGCCGCCTAAACGCGTGGCGCGTGGTATTCAAACCCCGTGTCTTGCTGAAATGTCAAACCAAATAAAAAAAGCCGCAGCATTGAGACTAACGCATTTCATGACTTTTTGCTTAATATGAGCCGATCTTCAGACACAACAACAATGGGGTTTTGAGAATTTCCGGAAGACGCAATAAAACGTGTTTCTTGTGAAAAGGTTTTATTTTTCCCATTTTGATTATTTGTTTCCTATTATTCATAATAATGGGAAAAGGCGCGATCAAAGAAGAAGAGAGGCAAGGGAAGAGAAAAACATGGCGATGGCCTTTGGCGGCTTTGGTTGTTGTGTTATTGGCAGTTGCTGTTAGCTCTAGGACTGCTTCTAATGTTGGTTTTTTCTTCACCGATCGGAATTCTTGCAGCTGTTCACTTCAGGTTTTTTATTACTGTTCTAGATTCTTCTTCTTTTTTTTTTTGCTTTGAGTTTGATCATTTGATGAAGGAATTTGAATTAAGGGTCTCAAGTGCCTTCTCGTGCTTGAATTGATGGAGTTTTTTAAGTATTGAGGGAATGTTGATGAATAGAGAAGAGAAGAATAGTGGATGTTTTCATTTGTTAATGGCCAAAAAAAAGGTTTGCTTTTTGATTCAGGGTGATAAAAATTGAATCTTTTGATGGTATTGACACTCTTTAGCCAAAATTTGAATCGTTTTCCTGAAATGTGCCAACGCTTTGTTTTTAAATGCAAGATGTGTGATAGTCAGTAATGTTGTAAGATTCAATCTTTTTCAGTGGACTCATATTTGATCAGTATTTGATTTTGTTCTTTCTGGTTTTCCATTTGGATACACAGGAAACTGGTAAATACAAAGGCATAGTTGAGGACTGTTGCTGTGATTACGAAACAGTGGACAATCTCAATAGTGAGGTTTTGAATCCTTTGCTTCAAGATCTCGTCTCAACCCCATTTTTCCGGTACTTTAAGGTTAGTGATTCTGCTTTAGAATTCGATTTTGCTGGAAAAAAAATTACAAATTTGGGTAATTGTGAATCAGTGGTCTAGTTTCTTGGATGTGGATAAATTCTTTTCTTTGACGTTACTCTTCTGAATAGCTAACTTTTGCCATTACTCTATAACATCGTTTTGATCCCTCAAATGTTGGGTAGGTTAAACTGTGGTGTGACTGCCCGTTCTGGCCAGACGATGGAATGTGTCGTTTGCGTGATTGCAGTGTCTGTGAATGTCCAGAGAATGAATTCCCTGAACCATTTAAAAGGCCATATAATATTGCGGGTCTTCCTTCTGATAATCTGATTTGTCAAGAGGGAAAACCGCAAGCTGCTGTTGACCGTACCATAGATAACAGAGCGTTCAGAGGTTGGGTCGAAACCCATAATCCATGGACGCATGACGATGACACAGATAGTGGTACGTAGTTACCAAGAACACTATAGTCAATGCTTGTAAAAAGAGCATTTTTTTCTGAGAACTTTGGTTCTTTTAAGTGTGTCTTATGTGTTGATGGTTGGAACTGGCTTATGTCTAGGTGAGATGACTTATGTCAATCTTCAACTAAACCCTGAGAGGTTTACTGGTTATACTGGACCTTCTGCTAGAAGGATTTGGGACTCCATATATTCGGAGAACTGCCCAAAGTGTGAGTTTTTTCCTTCCCAACCATATTGGTATTGTGAGACAAAGGCTTGTAGTGTGATGTGTGTGAATGTTTTTGCAGATTCTTCTGGGGAGACATGTCCAGAGAAAAAGGTTTTGTACAAACTTATATCCGGTCTTCATTCTTCAATCTCGATGCACATAGCTGGTGACTATCTTCTTGATGAGTCACGCAACCAGGTTTGTGTTTCTGAGGAAAAGATAGACAAGGCTCTCAACGTGAATAAATTATGGTAATGGTTGAAATGTTTTGATTGAAATGCAGTGGGGACAGAATATCGAGCTGATGTATGATCGTATTTTGAGACATCCGGATCGTGTCAGAAATATGTACTTCACTTATCTCTTCGTGCTACGTGCTGTAACTAAAGTGAGTAACTTCTCTGCAAGTCGGCCTTTTGGAGTTTTGACATGTTTCTCTGAATCAGTCTATGAGGGCTGAGTCTTACAACGTTTTATGCAGGCAAAAGCATACTTGGAGCAGGCAGAGTATGACACAGGAAACCATGCTGAAGATCTGAAAACACAGTCCTTGATTAAACAGTTATTGTATAGTCCAAAACTTCAAACAGCATGTCCTGTTCCGTTTGATGAAGCTAAGCTGTGGCAAGGTCAGAGTGGACCGGAATTGAAACAGCAGATCCAGAAACAATTCAGAAATATAAGGTTCGTCTTTATATTTCTTGAAAATGACACACTCTTGGAGCGTAATATGAGAGAGTGTGTCAATAGTAATACAGCTTAATATGTATTGTGTTTGCAGTGCACTGATGGATTGCGTAGGTTGTGAAAAATGCCGCCTTTGGGGGAAACTTCAGGTTCAGGGTCTCGGGACAGCATTGAAGATTCTCTTCTCTGTTGGGAATCAAGACAAGGGTGACCAAACAGTGAGTTTCTTAACATGTATATGTATGTTTTTGGTGTATATAGGCATCAATGGTCTGAAATGTTCATATCTTTTTTAAAGCTGCAACTGCAACGGAATGAGGTGATTGCACTTGTGAATTTGCTCAACCGTCTCTCTGAGTCGGTTAAAATGGTCCATGACATGGGACCCGACGTAGAGAGGCTAATGGAGGATCAGATAGCTAAGGCATCAGCTAAACCTGGCAGATTGAGAAGAATATGGGATTTAGCTGCTTCTTTCTGGTGAATTACTCCCATTTCTCCTCAGTAACACAACGGAACTATCCAGCTTTGAGGCATTCATGCTCAGTAAATGTAAGCCTAGGATGGATAGTCATCGTTGTAACAAATTAAGTAAAAAATCATTATAGAAACCCATACAAAAGATTTTGGTTAACAGATGAAAAAAGAATAGAGATTCTGGAGATAACAAAATTTATTATACAGATGCAAGAGTATGTCGAAAGCTATACTTTGATGCCCTCTTGGCTCTTGCACATTAGAAAAATATACTCTGTCGCTTCTCTCCGAATCTAGTTAATAGTCCCTGTTCTTGAGAAGGTTCAGCAGAGATAACCAAAACACATTTTGATAACCAATGCAAAGTAAAGAAGTGGAAGATACTAAGAGAAAAAAATGCATATCTTGAAATGAATAAATATCCAAATTGTCAAAATCAAAATCCAAACTTTCTAATTTACATGACGAAGCAATGATAAAAATCTATGTCGGCGAAAACAGAAGCGACGAAGGAACGGTTTTTTTTTTTTACATCAAAGAGAAAATGTTAAGTCTCAACTATTATGTCGAGATTCCTAAAAGAAAAAAATAAGAGAAATGAGCATCATACTTGACCATCTATGCTACGAACATCATTAGAAATTGTTGGCCAATTTTTTCATATAATGTGGCCTAAAGCCAATGCTTTACATGCTTAAAGAAGGGACGGGCCTGCGTCAGATCCATCTCTCTTTCTCCTTCTGTATCTGTTTCAGTGGTGTCTCCTTTAGACCTGCCTTACGAGCATTAGTCAACAGAACCCTGTGAGCTAACCTTCCTCTGCTTCCTATAGACAACCTAACTTTCTCCATTCCGACATTAATGCCACCTCTTCTCAACGGTTGCTGTCTAGGCGTAGATTTCATTTGCATTCTCTTCTGCATGCTTCGTCTCAGTATGCTGCTCAACATCTTCCCGTTACTTCTGTGCAACTTAGGGCTGACGCAGAGCACTTGGTCACTCTTTCCATCAGGCGAGTTTGTGATCGCTTGGCGTGGTGGCCTTAATGGAGAAGTTGATGTGATTGGGACGTATGGCATTGGGGCAAGAGAGCTCCTTCTTGGAGCTGGAGCTGGTAGGATACGTTTTGGACAAACAGAGAATCTTCCTGTTCTCTTGGGTAATTGCAATCGCTCAGCCATTTCTGGATTGTTCTCCTTCTCAATGAGGTCATTGTACTTGAGGCCAAAGTTAGGTAAAGGAGGTAGATCATAGCTGATGGTGCTCTCTGAGAGTGGTGGTCGGGTTAGATTCACTGTTTCTTTTGAAGTTGAGGTCTCACTTGAGATCCTGTTGCTCCCCAACAATAGGTTTGCAAGTGGCGGCCTCTTTGACGTGTTGTTTTCGTCTTCGTTCTGCTGTTTTGTCTGCTGCTCAGCAATTTTGGTGTCTACATGTTGACGAGCCAGCTTCCTCTCTACCAGCAGTTGTGATTCAAGTTCTTTAATCTAGGAAAGAAGGAGGTGGTAATTTGTGATTGGTTTTAGCAAGATGAAAAATGTTATAACCCATGTTGTTCTTTGTGGTTATGGTTGAGTATTTATATACCTTGTCCTGAAGGGTTTTGTTCTTTGTGTCTCGTTCCTTGATCTTTGCTTCTAAACCGTACATTGTTTCCTCCATTTTCTTCATCTGTTCGTCTTTTCCTTTCATATCTTGCTTCCATTTCTCAACCTAATAAAGAATTAACACAACTCAGAGGAATACTTGAAATATTCAATAAATACACATGTGGAGACGTAGCTTACCATTTGCTTGTATTTCAAGAGTTCGGTGTTGTCTAGCTGCTTCTTTGCAGGCCCCAACTCTATCCCTCTTACTCTGCTAGCAAAATTCAGTGAGCATAGTGTCTCGCTTAGGTCCTTCTCGTTAGGACTAATTTGTACGAACATGAGGGTCTTCGAATCTCCTCCTATCACAAACCAGTCATTTTTCAGAATATCATAATAAGGTCCATAACAGAAAATTGAGTGAGACACATGTAAGCAAAGCAATTGATTGCTGCTTTGAAACCAAAGTTAAGTACCTAGAGAATCCTGAAGTAAGTGCGTGAGCTTTGAATTTCTGCAAAGGCAATGCAAAACCAAACGTCAAGTTGGATGAAAAATGGTGGTTGTAGTAACCTTCTTCAGTAACTCAAGGAAAATAGATGTATTATATCGACCTGAAAGGAACGTGAGAGCTTTTGTTGGCAAGAGCAAATATGACGTCACCAAGAGCAGATAATGATTTGTTGATGTTTTGGGTCTCCTTGAGCCGTTCTCCTTGCACTTCTGTCTTTGCAACCCGTTCGCTTCCTGCTAAATCAACTAACCATAGTTTGCTCTTTGTGCATTCTCCATTCAACAAATTCTCCCCTTTCACCATCACGCAGTGAATGCTGTGCAAAGAAAAAAAAACTACATTTAGATAATTTTTCTGAAAAAGAAGACTTCAACTACAAATCAAGTCTGCAGACCAGTGAGATCGGCTGCTGTGTTCATTAGCCGTCGTTTTCCCAACAGCCCTTGCATTACTCCCTGTTTTCAACACATCCCAAACCTCATCTATGTTTTTCACGCGTGCTTCAATCAATCCTGGTACATGGTGGTTTCCTTCACTCACTTGCCTTATCTCAAATCTGCAAAGAACCGTGATATGAATTTCAACTAAAAAAATGTCCTTACTTATAGTCCTTATTGAACACCAAGTTATCACCAACGAGTCTAAAGAACCAAACCATGGAGCTTGCATGCTTAAATACATATAAATCTTATGTACCTTTTCGACACAGATGCATTTTGTGAAGCAGGGACCAACAAATCTCTTATTTGCTCGTTGTAAACTTCCAAGACACTGACGGAGATTTCATAATTGTATCGGTTTTCTCGCTCCTTAGTTATTTGAAACAGATGTTTCAGTGTTCTATAGTTTACACCACGATCATCTTGAGTTCCCTCCATGGTAAACGTTTTCCCCGTTCCAGTCTGACCATAGGCGAATATGCAGACGTTGTATCCATCAATGACTGACGTAGCAAAAGGAGCAGTATCTTCGAAAACATCAGCTATAGAAAAAAAAAACAGAAAACAACATGTCGTTTTGTGAGATGAGATTTCCAGCAAGGCAAGTATGCAAAGGGTGATGAACTGGTAATGGTTGCCAAAGATCACCTTGGGAAGCGTTAGGACCAAAAACAGAATCAAACTTGAAGCTTTTCTTGGGAAACCCATTTGACATGACTATGACCTCCCCACTTTTGGTTGACTCGACATCAATTCCCATTGATACTCCTGCTTCAACTTCTTCAAAGTTTAGGGGCCGACACCTGCAAAAGACCCTGATGTTTCCTGGAGGAAAGTACTGTAAGTTGTAAGACTACCAATATTATAGTCACGGAGGTCCTTCTAGAAGGTATATTGAAATTAAACACAAACCTTTGAGCTCTAGTATCTTGTTGTATAGTTCTTTCCTTTCTTTTTCTCCCGCTACAAATTTGACTTTGAGATTTTCATGCAGTTCTGCATCCTGCTTTACTGTTGAAAACAGATCTAAACGGATCAGAATTCATGCATACACAATTTTACAAAATCTTTTGTAGTGCTAATGGTATGTTTAACTGAGAGCAAGACAAAGACTCACCTCTGGACTGGATGTGAGATGTGAACTCATTGATATCTTGGACTAGCAATTTGTATGTGGATGCCTCCTCCAATAGCTTAGTTTGCTCCATTTTCATAATCTGTGAACCCAAATTCGTTTAAATGAGGCATAAGAGTTTGAAGTTGCTGAAAGTGTCTCAAGTTTGCTTCTGTGTACCTTCAATTTTCTTGTCAAATCTCTTAATGAAGAGAACCATCTGCTCTTCTCTTTGACTTGTCCCTCGACAGCAAAGGCTAGATATAAAACAAGTACCCGGAATGTCAACTTTTACGCTTGCAAGGGAGATGAAACCGAAAAGTAAGGGATTTACATACCCAAAGAACCAACATGCATCGACTTGCGCATAAGCTCATTTTGAAGCTCACGGAGAGAATTCAATGCTTCTTCGCATTCTCTACTCTTTCGTTGATTCTCTTGTTTAAGCTCATCAACCATTCTCTTCATGTCCGCCATCTCTTTCTTTTGCTGCTCACAGTCATTCCTCATCTCGTGGGTCTCTTCTTCCGTCTTGCAGTCAGCATTTTCCTAAAAACAGTATGACATTTTAACTATCTGTAACTTATATATGTACTCCCAAACTAAACTAGAAGCATCATGCTTGTGGAAGATCTCTCACTTGAGTTGGCTGGGACAGAACTGTGTCAGTTGTTCCTTTAAGTGCGAGCGTTCCAGTTTCTTCAACAGCTGAATGAGGAAAAATGTGATAAGAAATGTGAAAAAGTCCGGCAATTTGAAGTTAAAGTTCTCTGATTTCCAAGCATCATATGAAACCAAATCTCTCACATGGAAGATAAAAAACGAAACAAACAAAAAAAATCTTGTTGAAGATACAAAAAGGAAGAAACCAACTTACAAGTAGCCGTTGCCTCTTTCCTTATAGAAATTCCACATAGGATTGCGGTTCCTGTCACTCCTTCTAATCGTATAGATAACTCCCCTTCTAGACCAACGAGCATCCTTAGATCAGCTATCACAAGAGGTGTATTTGCTCCTACTTGCGAAAACAAATCAAGGCCAGATATGACCTGCAATAGTTTCCAAAATGATTAGATTTGCGATGGATCAGAAGACGAAGAAATGCTCAATGCAATGATGCCTTGCCTTTGCTCCTTGAATAAATATATCGAAAACTCTAACTCCCGCTGGGCCTTTAGTGAACTCGATTTCAGCAAAGTGCAGGTCGATGAAGTAATCCCCAGGATCCAATGACTGAAACGTGTAAGAGAAATTACCAAGCCGAGCTGTTTGATACAGCAAAAGCTCATCTTCATTGCCAACAACAGAATCAGTCGAAATACTTTCACCGCCACAGAAAAAATCATCCTTCAGGAAAGTCTCATCAGCCACAGTCACATCCGTGCTTGTAGAACCCGAGTTAATACTTATAACAGGAGTTGTACTCTCCCTGAAGTTTCCAGGTGGAGAAGGTAACTCAAAGGAAGACTCAGGAGACAACTCAAATCCGAAGGTTTGATTGATCGCTGAGAACTTCACAACTGGAGTTTTACGGCCATCTCTTGTAGCAGGACCATCGATTCCATTCTCTAGAGAAAGCTCAGTGGAAAACCTGATTTTCTGAGCAATTTCTGGGGAATCCGCATAGCTACCTCTTGGTATATCAGGTGAAGCACCACAGTTAACTAGATCGGGAGATGTTAGAGGAAACCCTAACACGAGTTTTCCTGAAACACAATCGAGCCGATTCGACGCCATTAATCTCAATAGTGAGGCGATTGATTTCGACAAGAAAAAAAGGAAATAAGAAAAGGTTCAGTACCATCTAACGCTATGGGATCACTAGATTGTTCCACTTTCATCATTTCCGGGCTTGATTGTTCCGTATGAACATCTAATTCAAATCCAGAATTAGTAAAGTAAGAGAAAACTCAGAACTATTATGTATTCCACAATCCGCATAAGCAAGCATCATATTTTCAATGACTTACCGTTAGTCGATTCGCAATTTGAATCCAGATCTGCCATTGTCATTGTCCTTGAGCTCGATAATGTAGCTTTTTCAGCTGCTGATGGAAATAAAAGAATCGCAAGTGAGCAAATTTGTTTGAAAGCAAATTAAAAACGTTAGATAAATCGAAATCTCACAGCGAGAGAAGCTTTCACGTCGCCAAGAAGCATCAGTTGCGAGAAGTGGATCGTGCCATTGATCACAACAATCCTCCATCAAAATCTAATCGACAACTTTGCCCAGAAGAAGAAGAGAAATCAAACAGTGAGTATGGAGAGCGAACAATTTCAAATCAGCGAAGAGGAGAGAAGAAGAGAGGATAATTGTGGTTAAGGTAAAGAATCGGATCCTCTTTTTTCCCCCTTACGGTTATTTTAACGTTATTAGACGACCGTTTGATCCTTTTACACCTTTGAAATTTGAAATGTTTCACCGGGTAGCCGGGCAGTGATTGACCTCTTTTCTACGGGCAGGCTAAGCCACTGACACGTGGCAATAAAATCGAATTTAAACGGACATCACCGAATCAAATGATATTTTTATTAAAGAAAACTTCCTTTGAATTATATACTCAAACAAATGCCATATGGACATTTTTTACTCCCCGAAAAATGCGTAATCAGTACAGTATTATTCCATTTTAATTCATAAACTAATAGATCAAATGCTGATTTTTTTAGTTGTTACTTAAACAGACGCTTATATGATATTTATTGAACAAAAAATTTATTAATCTGTTTGGTCCCATGCGTAATGCTAGTGTTAGACATATGACGTAGGAAGTCCGAAACACGAATTTTCCATTTTGCTCATTTTTTTGGTAATATTGAAATCTTCTTAAGCTCGTGGTGGGTGATAAAGGTTGGACTCCCGGTTTATTTCGATGGAATCCCGAAATGTTCTTTCGTTACGTTACGTACCCAAATATGATCTTTGACACATTTAATCGGAAATTGCAAATTTTCTTGTAGTGTATTCAAGCTAGACTAAAGGTTGTAAAATAATACCTTTTGTAATCTAAAAATAAGAAATAAGTAATATGATACATCTCTCATTTCTATTTCTTTCTTTGCAAACCAATAAATTCTAAATCAAAATTCAATTATATTTTGGAGCCAATGAAAAAATAAAATATATTTACTATTATGTTTACAATGATTAACCATATTTGAAATCACGACGAATATATTTTGAATATTGGTATCATAATACACGCAAAAATATTTGACAAGATAAATCATAACACACAAAATAAATGTTTCTTTTAAAAAATAATAATAATAATATTTGTAAGTTTTCTACAGTTTTGGCTACATTATAGTTGTATTTCCAAAAATGAAACATGCGCTAACATGAGACAATGCAAGAACGTGCCATACTATTGAGGGACAACACCTAATATGAATGTATCAAGCCACCTGATTAATAAAGATTCACAGTTCGACCAAAAAAAAAAAAGAATGTATCAAGCCACCTAATCGTTCGGGAACAAAAATATCTTACATGCAGAAACATGAAAGTTCTATGATCTAATATAATGCCTTTGTGGCTAGCTCGAAGTTAGTTTAACCAAAATTCTAGATTTCCCTTGTTTTTTTTTTAATTCCTAGGACATATACTCAATATAGCTTTTAAAATACAAATTTAGTAAGTGAAATACAAAAGGCAAACCACTTCATTTTTTATTGAAATTCAAATTCATATAAAAAGCTTTGCTATGTTAACGAGTTTCTACCTTTTGCTTGAACACCAATAATTACTTTCTGCAGATAAACGGGCGAAATTAAAAGTTAGTTTCCGTTTTTTAATAATATTAGAGAAAACTCGAAGTACAATTCAAATCAACTCCAGCATCTTCTTTGATCGCAATTGATCTACATTGAAGCCTATGTTATTTCTTCAAGTGTTCGCTGGACGCATTCGTATGCATGAATTTTTTATATAACTAGTTAACTACAAGTATATAACTTCCATCTTCGCAAAATTTTAGTAAGAAATTTTTTTCCAAAAAGTGTAACTGTCAGATTACCGTTTAAAAGTTTTATTTGACTCTAGAGTCAACTGAAATCTAAGATGAACAAAGGAGAGTCTAAGTTAGCTAAACTAAACCATTAAAAGATAGAGATAACAAAATTACCAAATAATTTCAACTATAGAAGATAGAAAAATGAAACTACATTCCAAAAACAAAATGTGATCGCAGTTGGAGTGGTATAAAATTCTGTGACAACGATTGCTGACTATTTAAAAAAAAAAGATTTGTGTAGGCCGGTTTTCATAAATGATAAAAATTATATGATTAATCTTTTCTTTAAACCATATTTGCTTAGTATCTTAACTATGTTTGAACATTGTAGAATGTTAAGTTTCCTTACACTTGATTGTTAATGTTAATACTGGGGGTTATAGACTTATATTTAGTCAGTTGAACATAACTAAAACTGTAATGATTACTGATGAATTAAAAAATATATACTAATGTTCAAAGAAGTTTCACGGGACTTGATTGGTGATCATAAAATATCTTCTAAGTTCAAGACGCGCAACAACGCATACACATCATATCTGTAAAATATTTATGATTGTATGTAACAAACATTAGTGGTACGGCGTCATTAAAAATGTGAACAGCTGTATGTAATATGAAGTGATTAATGATATGAAAGTACAACACGTCTTTGTCCTCTTACCGTACATTCTTTCTGGCAACTAGAGTAAAAGTCATGCGCCAGCCTATCATATCATTGCTCTTATTTATTTTGCATTTTTTTTCCATCAATTGTGCATTCGTTTGCTTTTTTTTTTTTCCTTAGAGATATCCTATATACTAACTATATGCATTAACGTGAAAGAATTATTTGGTTTTCTCAAACTGTTATCCTGAAATTTACCCAAGTGTTCATGATAACTTGGCATACAAATATGTAACTAAGTTGATCGCTATTGATTCATGAATTTAAATTTGATAAAAATTGAAAAAAAAATTTAGACCACTAAAAAGTGTCTTGTTTACGAAACAAATGCACCACTAAAAAAGTGTCTTGTTTACAAAACAAATGCACTTGTGACTTGTGATGTATCATTTTTTAGACCACCATCATCACCGACATAGTTTACAATTAGAGAGTACTTGTGATGTATCATGTATCATTAATGAAAAAAAAAATTCACTTCTTTTATTGTGTTACAACAAAAATAGAAAATACAATTCTGTAGGTATAAAAATCTTAAGCATTTTTTTGCTGGTTCTCTGCATTTCCCGAGTGACCAAAAATGAACATATAAAAGGCATTATATTAGTGGTATAAATAAAAAAAATTATTGTAAATAATTTAAAGAACTAGTCTACGATGGATCCGAGCAATAGTCTGAACAAGCTTTGTTTCTTCCCATCCTTCTTCTTTTCTCTATACCGATATTGCAAAGGAGACGAACAAGAAGAGACCGAAGAAGAGGAGTAACAAGACGAGACCGACGTGGTAGAACAAGATGATGATGAGCAATAAGACGACGCCGTTTGAGCTACGTTTTTAGTATAATCGTAGTACTCTAAAGATAGCTTAGAGAGCCTCTCGGTGAGACAGAGCGAACATATTCCAGGAGACTGTCTGTGTTTCGTGTGCTTCTTGCATGAGAAGTTATTGTCTGAATTGGAGTTGGAATTTGATCTCTTTACTTTAGGGTTCTTTGACCTTCTTGTTCTTCTTGATCTACTGTTGATGAGGAAGATGTTTGCCATTGATGAAGTCCGTCGTGAGCTCTGTGTTTATTTTTACTTTTTGTTTTTGTTTTTTTTGTTTATCTTGCCGTCTCGTGATTGTATTTATAGGTGCTTTGTGTAGTTAATGCAAAGGTTGTTTTGATTTTCCATGATGTTTCCGAGATCCTTCAATTCTTTTCTTTATTCTTTTTCATTTTTAAGAGACAAGAGAAAAAAAAACAAAAAGAAATGACCAAAGAAAGAACTGTTTTGGTGAAATAAATGTGGATGGGCCTACATCCTACTTATTTTTGGTTTTTCCATTTTTTTCGTCTTATTCCCATATACTCTCGAATTTGCTGCATTCGAATTATGGAATGACACTAGTACAAAATTACAAATAATCAAGTCACAGACTCCGGTGACTATTTTTTTTTGGTTATTAATGACACTATAGCAACACTAATAAGATCATTTGATATCAAACTTTAATCAGCATCGATCTTACGAATTTATTAATTATGAAGATAAGTAGACATTTTGTTTGTATGTGAATGTAGAAAAAGTTGGTTAAGTAGATGCAAACATTATTAATTCTGACCAAACTTTTTGTTCTGTTGTTGTGTTTGGTTTAGCGATGAGATCTGGAGTGGTTACAATGTATTTTCTTAGATGGAAGGACTATGTCCATCGCCGGATTCAGATGGAGTTCTTAAGTACTTTTACTAATTCAAATAAATGAAAAATGCAAAAAAGTTTTACAAATCCGATTTCTAAAACTCTTATATAATAACCTCATTTAAGGGAGGTTCATAAAAACGTGACACACTTTCATTCGTTAGTTGTTTTTGAGACACTTTCTCACTTTTATTCCTCTTCTTTTTCCATTTTTAAATTTTTTTTATGGAGACATTCTTTTTTCTCTCTTCTCTAAAAATTTATTATTAAAATATTTTTTTAGAATTTATAGTGGAACTCAGCGATGGACATGCTCTTAAGATGCATTAAAAAAATCAGGTGGGTTCGTATAAGTAAGTAGTCGGTGGGCCGTTTTTCATGGGCCAGCTCAAATGTGCTTCGAGGTCAATGCCCATCTGGCTATCAATTGCTCCGGACACATGTCAATCCTGACGATCGTTCGTGATCAACCCCATGTCCATGTATATAAAGTATTCATTTCACACCTCTAAAATATTATTAAAAAAGTTGATTCCAAAAATTATAAATTTATAAGGAAAAAAGACTTAATTAATTATCAACTTAATTTAGATCGATACACAAGTTCAGAAGAAAATGTGAGATTCCAATTGTGGAAGCAAACGGGCAAACGTGTCTTTTCATTCTCTAGATTTGTTGGACATTAATTTCATATTTACAGTTCGGACAATATACTACGGGCCGAAAATGAAACGTCTAATGTGACAATTGATGGAACACATTTGAAGTTATTCCGGGAAAATGTTGAAGCCCATTAGCTAATCGAAAGCCCATTATGAACAAATACTATCTCCGGCGTTAAAACCACCGCCCGGGTGTATGCATGCTCTCCAGTCTCCACCGATGTCTCCGGAATGAGTTCACTGCATACTATAACGTAACCGGGAGTATTTTGGCCGCCTCACAACTTACAAGTAACCAATAACTTATGAACCTTGCAAGTCGCAATCTGTAGTTTCCCTCAGAATTGAATTAGTATTTTTTTCTCATCGTTAGTTTGAGGCCAAAAATATCATCCCCAAAAACCATATTTTGATTGTACCTCATCTTTATCAATTGTACTTGAACTCTTAGATATTCCATTTTACCTACGAACCCAAAGTGGAAAAGATTGAGAAAATCAGACATTTACAACCACCGGTGAAAGATTCCTATGAATGTTAATAATTACTAATCACAATCTGATCTACTCCCCAATATTGTTTCTTTTAAAACTTAGTTTAGTTATCAACACATGATGCTTTCCATAAACTGGATTCGAATTTCTAACAACCTTACATTATTATAGTAGACTTATAAGCTAAATACGGTACTTCGTGTTTTGATGTACTTTTTCAATAAAAGGCTCATAGCCAAACAAGAAATATAATTGTGAGAAAGAAATGCTAATACGAAACAAAAGGAAAAATATCATAGTTCATAGAATAATTAATCACAACAAGATACATATATAATAATAGGAGTAATATAGCACTGCCTCTAGCCTGGTCTTTCAAACGAGTCAAACCACAGCAAAACACTTGAAAGCAACTAAGAAAGAGCCAAAGCATATAATAATGCAACTACACAAGTCACAACCAAAGCCTCTAACGGCTTCAACGCAACAGTGGAAGAAGCAGAAGGAGCAGACTTTCCGGCTTCAACGGCTGGAATTTTTCCGCCTTCTACGGCTGGAGTTTTGGCGGTGGTATCGTCTCCACCACCGGCTGATGAGGCTGAGGATACACTTACGGTGACGGAGAGCTTCATGCCGCCGGTGCAATGGCCGGGGATACCGCAGATGAAGTAGTGTGGACCAGATGTCTTTAGAGCTATGGTTGTGGTTCCGCTACTGTCCGAAGAAATTGCGTTCCCCAGTTTGCAACCCTTGTAGTCACTTTCACTCACTTCGTCCACTGTGTGACCCGCTCCGTAATAAAACACTATATGCAACACAATGTACACACACATATATTAATACACATAGCTATGATCTCAAATGTATTATATGTTTGCGTTCCTTAATTTCATTTTGTTAATTGTTAACACAAACGGGTTTTATTTCACAGAAGATATATTATAAAGAAACGAAAATATGTTTTCTTTTCTTGAAGTGTGAAAATTTCACATGTAATTAACTGCAAATGCTTTTTTTTTTTTTGAGAAAGGGTTTATGCAAATGCAAATATTAGAGCTTCAAACATGGACATAATTTATGTTTTATTTTTAAAAATGTTTTTAGTATTCTGTATGTTGAATATATGTTTTATTTATTTTGAATGGTATTTGTATTCTGTAATTCTAATGAAGTAATTTGTATCCTTTAAGAAAAATATATTTTTTTTGTTTTTTTTTTTAAATCCAAATGGGTATATAGCAATGGATTTACAAAACAAGGGGGTTTCTAATTTGGGTCTCTAAACCCAGTTTATTATTTAAATATAGAATATGATGCCCATTAAAGTATTCAGCGATGATTATGCTCTAAGTATTCCTCCGATCTTGGGTAATCCTTTTTTTTTTTTACTCTCTTTTAGTGCTTTTCCTTCACTTGAGTTCCCACTCAAACTTTCTCTGTTTCTGCGAGAGCAACAAACATAAAGTCATCTTATTACAAGGTATTACTCTGGTCTAATTCTTGTAGTTTCTCCAGCTTTGTAATATTTTTGTAGTCACTTTGAATTCCCGTGTTCGTCATCCTTCAAACTTTGTTTTTATGGAGTTACACAAACATTTCAGAAGCTCTGTTTAAAATCCTTTTTTTGTTGTATCTTGTTGTCTTGATTTCATTGATGTGTTTCTTTAATAAACTGATTTTAGCCATGTATGCCCTCCCATTAAAACGTAGGAAAACGAGATCTGTTAAATGTTTGACACTGATCTGATGAGTTGTATTATATGTTCATGCTCACATGCTCACACAATAGTAAAAGCGAAAGTTCAAGTGGGGTAAGGGGATTAAAGCCATAAATCAATTGAAACGGAGAAAACAAAGTAGTAGAATGCACTGAAATATTATATGCAAATTCTACGTGTGGCAAACAGTCTTCCCAAGTTCGGAGGTTCTTTTTAATGACAGATTTAAGCAAAGCCGACAAAGTCTTATTCACTACCTCAGTTTGTCCATCGGTTTGGGGGTGACAGGTGGTAGAAAAACATAACTTGATACCTAACTTGGACCACAGAGTCTTCCAAAAGTAACTAAGAAACTTGGTATCCCTATCAGAGACTGTGGTTCTAAGTACGCCATGCAACCTAACAATTTCCCTATAGAACAGATCGGCTACATTAAAGTGGGCTATTTTCAAAAATCGATCTACAACCACAAAGACCGAGTCTCGTCCTTTCCTAGTTCTTGGTAAGCCTAAGACAAAGTCCATAGAAATGTCGGTCCAAGGTGAACTAGGAACGGGTAAAGGCGTATACATACCTGGTGGCTGGCTACAGATCCGTTCCACGTCCCATTTTATATGTGGCCAAAAGAAATGGTCTTGGCCACACTAAGGGTCTTGGTAACGCCGAAGTGTCCCATTAAGCCACCGCCGTGTGCTTCCCTAACCAAAAGGTCACGAAGTGAAACATTAGGTATACACAATCGGTTTCAATAAAACAGGATATCATGATATCTAAAATATTTGCCATTAGCAAATTTAGAGCAAGATTGATAAACTTCCTGGAAGTCGGGGTCAGAGGAGTAAGCCTCTTTTATCATTTCAAAGACGAGTATCTTCGCGTCCAAAGTGTAGATCAGGCTGTATTGCCGAGACAAAGAGTCGGCCACGATGTTATCTGTTCCCTTCTTGTACTGAATGACGTAAGGGAATATTTCAATGAACTCAACCCATCTCGTGTGCCACTTGTTCAGCTTTTGTTGTCCCTTAAGATGTTTTAACAACTGGTGATCCGTGCGGATCACAAACTCCTTTGGCCAGAGATAGTGTTGCCAAGTTTGAAGAGCGCGAACACGGGCATAGAGTTCCTTGTCGTATGTGGGGTAGTTCAATGTGGCTCCGCCCAATTTTTCACTGAAATAAGCTATGGGCCGCTTCTCTTGAGTCAAGACCGCACCGATACCTATACCTGAAGCATCACACTCAGATTCAACAGGTAAAGAGAGTAAAGGAGCGTGAGTAAGCCTGTCTTTTAGGAGCTGAAAAGCTTCTTCCTGTGCCGCGTCCCATTTAAAGCCAACATCCCTCTTTATGACCTCGGTGAGTGGGGCGGCAAGTGTACTGAAGTCTTTGACAAACCGTCGATAAAACCCGGTCAAGCCGTGGAAGCTCCTGACCTCACCAACGGTCTTAGGACTGGACCACTCCTGAATCGCCTTGATCTTCTCTTCATCCACCTAGATTCCGTTAGCTCCTACAACAAAACCTAGAAAAACGACACTATCTGCACAGAAGGTACACTTTTTCAAGTTACCATAAACCTAGAAAAACGAGATTTGTTAAACTGATTTTTCCCTCTCTCAGTCAGTTAATCTATGTATGTTTTGTTGTTCTATCTACGAAAACATAGAACGGTTTCTTTAATTTTTATGAAAAAATAGAAAGAACGGGTTTGGTCTGAACTTTTTTGTTTGATGTTTGGATTAATATGTAATATGAATGTAGCAAGCAAGATTGTTGACGAACGGAAAAAGAATTGTAACGGAGATCGATTTTCATAAATTTTGCAGCGAGTAGAAGTGATGATGAGATGGTGCCCAGATTCCAGAGTTTCCATCTTCTCCTTCATCCTTGGAAGCCCTTTGACAATGATGAGACGTATCATGTGTGTA